TAAAAAAAAGTAAAGATCCCTTTTCACACCTTTCGGCGCATCGGGCATATGGGCAGAGCATCCCATATTTTTACAGACCATCAGCACTCTGTGGGTAATGTGGTCAGCATTACGCCGGCTGTCTTTACTTTCCCAGGACAGCCCATCCTGGTACCCATTTTAGGCTGCTATATATACACACACACATATAAAACTAACAATAACACCCAAACAAAAACAGATGACTGAAATAATAAATGACAACAATTACTGGCCAACTAAAGATATAAATTAAACAAAGGTAATATATCAGCAAAGAGTATGACAGCTGTGCATTCATCTACTTATGATGGAATACAAAATAGCTAGTAAGAGGTTTATAAGTTATTATTTATGCTTTTAAGGCACATCTTTTACTGAATAATAAAATATACAGGAAATAAATAGTTAAACTGAAAATTGTTCATGGTTTTTGTATCTTTAAATAGGGGACCGAGTGGTCTCGAGGCATGGTGTTCACTTCGAGTGCTGGAGGTCCTGGGTTCAGGCATCAGTGAAGACTGGAATTTTTCACGTGGACTTGTAAGTAATTTCCCCTAGTCTCTAGGTAGTAAGAATGGACTCTCGTGTGTATTGCTGTGCACGTAAAAAATGTCTTGGCAGTCGGAAATCAAAAAGAGTAGCCTAAAGGTGCTGACTGGGCAAATTTGTGAGTTGAAAATCTGCCTAAAGTATTTCAGGATCCTCGCTGGTGCTACAGAGTTCATGCACTGTGCTGAGATTTTTCAGATTTAAGGTTGAGTTAGAAGAGAACGGAGCACTTACGGGTTACTACCCATGTGCCATGTTGTTGATCCGTTGAACTCAAACCTAAACCTCTAAACCGTATCCTTAAATGCCTGATCAAAAACTGAATTATTTTTTTACATTAGTGAAGCTCCCATGTAACAGCTGCAATGACTATTTGTCAATCTATTGCATTTTTTCACAATCCCTTCTATTTCTTTCTTTCTACTGACTTGTTTTAAACCCTGATTATTTTCAATTGCACCAGAGAATACTGTTTTTGGAAACAGAAAATACATATTTTAAAAACAGAATGTGTGTGTGTGCTCGCATGTGCTTGTGTGTGTGCATTTGTGTGCATGTATGTGTTTATTTATGTGTAATATAATTACTTTTTATGTGTATGTGTGCATGTATGTAGATATGTATGGTTTTTATTGGTTTATTTTTATGGCATCTTATGTCAGGATGGGAAGCCATAGTAAACATGGCTAGAAACCTACCTACTGGTCTGAAGGTCTTAAGTTCAAATCTGCATCATAGCAAATTTTTGTAAAAATAAGGCTCCCAATTTGACCTAACCTAAAAGGGTACAGGAAATGCTATCGGAAGTAAACTAGGATGGTATATTGTTGACAACATCACCCACTGAGTGCTGACAGTTCTATTAAAAAAGATGGATCTGACACCATATCCCTAAATGCACTAATGGCCTGAAAATTGTCCCTTTATTTTTACATTTACTTTTGTCTTTTAGTCCTAGGAGAATTACCCAAGAAGGTAATAAATAGCCACTTCCATGAGTGCATTACTTTCAAACTGACTGCAGGCGCTGGAGGCACTCACAGTAGAAGCCAGATTTCTTGAATATGCTTCAATTTTATCAACATGAAAATATGTAAGGGAAGCATTGTGTGGTTTTTATGGAAACAAAGGGCAAGACTAAACACATATTTTGTGTTTTTGGGGATTGAATGTTATATCAAGAGCAGCAGTATTTCTTTTTTTTTTTGAGGGGTATGCAGACTGCTGGTTCCTCGCCTATCAGGCAGATGCACTCCGACTTCGAAGGAATCCCCCAATTAGTTGACTCTTGCGACATGCTTTTAGGGAGGCAGTGGGTCTATTCTTGTTTTCTCCACAATGGGGCCTTCGAACCCACATGGGGATTTCAGCGTCAATGTAACAGACACTTTATGGTGAGTACCGGCACCATTTCTTTTCCTAGGAAAAAGCCCTGGTCAAGAGAGCTATATATGTTGGTATACATTATGCTTTAAAATGTAAAAGTATTTGCCACATATAAAGCTACTTACTAGTCAATGCATACTGGGTTTTTTGGGGGAATTAGTAAAGTAAAAAGTAAAGGACCCTTTCCCATCCCTACAGGCATATTGGGCATATAGGGCTATATTTTACAGACAATCAGCAGTCAGTGGAGGATGTGATCTACATCATCCCGGCTGTCTCTACTTGACAGGACTTTACCCGGTTCCCCTTTAAGGCTGAGCTGGCCTTGGAGACAAGGTAATTTTTGAAAAAAAAAAAGTTCAGCTCTATCAGGACCTAAACCTATGACCTCTGGATCTGCAGGCGAGCATCTAGCTCAAAATGGCAGCTCCCTGCTTAGAATTTGAAATTTAATAAATTTCCTGATCCTATAAAAATGGAACACATTTTTACAGTTTTAAAATTATACGTACAGCTTATTCACAGATTTTTATTTACTTTATCACTTGTTCAATATAAAACCTTCATTCTCTTGGCTTCATGCTATGTATTTAACTACGGAACTGATTATCAAAGACTTTTACTAATGATTACTTTCATCATAATTTCAACAGCGTTGTCTTAAAATCTTCATAGGACAGTTTCTGGCACTGACTCCTGTCAAACAGCTGCAGAATGTCAAGGAAATCTTCATTGGCCAGAGCATAACCCAGCATTTGCAGTGATCTCCTCAGCTCTCCTTCTTCAATGAAGCCATTGTGATTGTGATCAAAGAACTTGAAAGATCCTCTTAAAGTTTTGAATTTCTTCAGAAGCTGTAAAAACACACACACATAACTTCAGCATCAGAAACCATTTTGTTATGTTTAATTTTAAAATGTGAATCAGAAAATGAATCTGTCATAGCCCTATTCAAGTTTCTGTAGCAAAATGGCCAAGCCATTTGCCTCATGCTCTGTAGGTGGTGAGTTTGTTTCACTGCTGCATCGTTTGGTTCATGAGTGCAATTTTTATGGAAATTCCTGAGGATTGTCACCAGAGTTAGGGAGTTCATACTTTACTGAATAGCCAACAGTGTGTGACTGATGTGCACAAGTCAACATGTTATGTTTGTTGTACATCATATCCAACTGTAAACATCCACAAGCCCCCAGACTCAACAGAAAGCAACATACAGCAATTTTCCATCTACGAACAGGACACTGCAGGCTCAACTATCACATGCATAAAATAAAACTGGACAGTTTCCACAGTGCGCCTGTCAGACAGGACCATGAACAGAGCACATTCTCCAGACTGCCCACTCGACCAACAACTTTAAAAAGAAACCTGGCCTCAAGAACAAAATGTGCAAAGCAAGCTATGGGGAACCATGAAGGATCTGCAACTGACATGCAAGTTCATAGAGGCAACCCATTGGATGGTCTGAGATAAACATATGAAACTGAATGCGAAGAAAATGAAGTACATTAAATGTTTAGTCACAGAGTACTAAAGAATGTCCATATATATATATGTATATATATGTATGTATATATATATATGTATGTATATGTATATATATATATATGTATATGTCTCCTACAAGGTGCTGTGTATCTGACCCATACATAGGATTTTGTTGTCGTTATTATTGCCTATGGTCTCCATGTGAAGTGGTCAAGCCATCTGCCTTGCTCTCTGAAGATGGGTTCATTTCACTGCGGCGCCATTCTATTCAATAATGTAATTTTTACTGAGATGCCTTGGGATCATAACTGGGTCTATAGTGTTTGTCCTTTTGTGTAATGCTCTCTTTAGGAAGCCAGCCTTTATGTGAAGAGAGATCAAGGCATATGGGATAAAACCTGGTGCAATGAAGTTGACCATCTTGACACCAATAACTGTGTGGACATACCATCAGTTATGATGCTTCTGTGACTGAAAGGGTTCAGAAACAGAAGAACGTTGAATGTTTAATAGGCAGCACGAGTATGTATATCGCATACATATTACCGGTGTTTCTCTTGTACATCTCAGAATAATCCGCATGACTTTTATGTACATGTTCAAGTTTCATCAGCTGACTCTGTGATATGGTAAGCATTTTAAGTCTGTAATCTATCATTGACGTGATTACATGCTGGAACATTGTGAATAGCATTCTTTGTTCCATGTCCATTGCTGCCATAATCTTAAAAGCATTGAGTGCTTTTTGGTATTTCACTGCAACTGCCTCCACATGATCCCTGAAGGACAGGCTTCTGTCGAAAATGATACCTAGTTACCTCAGTTTGCTTTCTCTATTGATGTTTTGTCATTAACTGTGAGGCTTGCAACATCAGCTCTTACATTTCCACTGTCCAGAGAACACCAAAATTGTACAGAGATGGTCTTTAACAGTATCAGATGTAGATTGTCAATTTAAGAAATAAGGTGTTGATGATAGGCACCCTGGGCATTTCGTGAGGAGAAATATACTTGTGAATGTAGTTACTAAAGGTAGACTTGATAATAAAAGAGGAAGAAGAAGACACAAAGATAAATACAAGAGACTTGATTTGACACTCAGCTGATCATTTGTGATGGTGAACCATAATCAGTCATGTTTAACAGCATGTGCATGTTGATGATGATGGTAATTTAAACATTCCCATGCAATTCATAAATAAATTTATTCCACTCTTTCATATTTGAATTTCTTGAAGGGACGATTTTCTTTTTTTAAGTGTTATTTAATTCCATATCAGCAAATCAGTTTCATATGTGAACTGTGCTGCTTTTACAATTTCTGTAAGCTTCCATTATATGTGCTGCAAGCAGGGCTTTTTTCTGGTGGTACGCAATGGTATGCAGTAACATCACCTTTTTTTTAAGGTATCATGATTTCAGTTCTGTTGTTAAAGACTCTTTGTGGTGAGTATCAGCACCTTGTTTATAAACTTCGTGGTTGGTACCGGCACCTACTGTTCTAGAGAAAAGCCCTGGCTGTAAGAGATACCACCAAATAAAATTATGTTACTTACAATTCCCTTCAGTTCTGTTAAGAAATCATAGACTGTGACAGCCATCGATTTTGATCCGGCCTAGGCAGAGATAAAAGGTAATATTTTATCAATGATAACCACCATAAAACAAACTGCATTGTGTGTAAGCATAATAAAACAAAATTAAGTGTAACCATGGCAAAACTAAATAAATGTAACCATGACAAAACAAAATCACGAATTAACAAGATTTGAAAAAAATTATGTGTAACCATGATAAAACCAAATTTTATATAAACATGGTTAAACCAAATTATAGGCAATCATAATAAAACAATATTATCCGTAACCATGATGAAAACTAGGCCCTGATAAAATTAAACTATAAAAACCCCAATAAAATAAAATTTGTGGAATGCTATGATAAAAGAAAATCATGAATAACCAAATTATCCCCATGTGTGTTCCAGGCCCCATTTTAGGAAAAACAAGACTAGACCCACTGTCTCCCCACACGCATGTCATAGGAGTCAACTAATTGGAGAACTTCCTGTAAAGTTGGAGTGCATTTACCAGAGTGGCAAGGGAAACCAGTTGCACACAAGTAAGTCAGTAAAACAGATGTACACACAAAACTCAGGCACACAAAAAAGCCACAGTCCCAATGGACTTTCTGCTGGAGTTTACAGCCAGTGAAAGAAGAAAAAGAAGAAGAAGGAGAAGAAGACGAAGAAGAAGAAGAAGAAGAAGAAGAAGAAGAAGAAGAAGAAGAAGAAGAAGAAGAAGAAGAAGAAAAAGAAGAAGAAGAAACCAAATCATGAATAACCAAGTGCATTACATTTATATAGCTAAATTTACAGTGGGCTGCCACTGAAGTTCTATATTTCTTTACTATCCTTTAAAAACAGCTGATGGAAACATTGATCCGATTGAAATATTTTGTTTAATTTTCATATCCTAAACTAAATTACTGCCAATAGTTTTTCACTTAGATATCAATCATAATATCAAGACTGTTGTCATCATCTGGCAGAGATTCATCAACGAGAGAGCAGTATGAACAGTTCTAGACCTTTTCCCTTATCATTTATTATAGAAAAATTACGTAAAAATTGTATCCCATCTAAAAAACATTTTTTTTAAATCAGAAAATAATGCACCGACCACGATGAGCTTCACAAATGAAAGGACTTCCTGTTGTTAATCCTGATTGTTCAAAAACTTGTTCATAAGAGTTTGTTTTCCCCACAAACGGAACAAAATTAGAGTGTCTCTATCATACCCCAATATACTGGCGATTCGTCCATTTGGGATAGATTTATTCGCCAGTATACTGGCGAAACATCTTTAAAGAGTTAACAAATTGTTTAAAATATTTAAAAATCGTACAGCATATTACACTATGTACAGAATGACTTTATTTTCCGGGACAGTATTGGTTTCAGGCAGGCCCAGACCGCCCCACCATAGCTATTTTAAAAAACAAAAAGGTCGGTTGTCCCAACTGACAATTTTTTTTAAAGTCTAGGCCTACCTAAAAATGATACTGTCCCAGCAAAAAAATTGGACTTTTAGTTACCCTAACTATGCATGGGTTTCTCTCAAACACCAACATTTGTTGAAACTGAAAGAATTATGAAAATTTAAGATTACTAACCCTTTTGTGAAGCCGTTTGGTGTGAATGTTGAAAACACAGGGGTTGACCTCTTGGCCCGGTGACAGCCCCTTAACTGCATTTAGAAAGGACAAATAGTGGAACCAGCCATTTCCTTGAAGGTCAAAGAAATTACATAACTCTTCCCTCTCAGCTGCGGTCAAAGGAAGTTTCAGTTTGTAGGATATGTCCTGGAAGTATATATGACTTGAAAGTCTTTAATTTTAAACATTTGTCACTAAACAATGATATACATTTGAACAAAGAAGGCACAAACAATAGACTGCACAATGTATTGCCTGGCATATTTAATTGAATCTCATTAAGTGTATACTGCAGTAAACATGTAATAAAATGAAGCAAATAAATAAATCTTTTAGAACTTCATTTTATAAAAGTTTTACTGAAGAATGCACAGTGAAATATGACAGGCAATACATCGTGCAAACAACTGTGTCTTCGGTGTTCTAATTTACAATGGGAAACAGTTTGATTATCTGAAATGGTACAGATGTTCAGTTATCTAAGCTGTTAAAGGCCAGTCTAAATAAAAGAATATTATCCTGGCTCAGCAGATTATGTAATATATAATTTTGATTTGACTTTTTTCTTCAAATGGATAAAATACTGAGGGTGGAAATATTATAGGTTTTGTATTTTAAAAAGCTTACTGGCTTATGAACTGGATTCAGTGACTTTTCTTATTGCATTGGAAAGAAATGCACAGGTATTGATTAGCTAAAATACATAACACATTAGACATTATTAAAGCTGTTGTGACCACAATGAGATTTAAAACTGAGGCCTCCAAAGGACAATACAGTACTCCCATGTTGAAGCAAAGTCTATACTTTCACCAACTAGATGCTCCTAAAAGAGATGTCTTTATTAGTGAGACCAAAAAGTGAGAGGGCTTTTGTTTATAGACCAATTAGCATGGGTAATGTGGTCAACATCGCTTCGCCCACTTTTATTTCTCACAACATTGTCTGGTACCAGTTTAAGGCAGGTTTGACCTGTGAGTCAAGGTCAATTTAAACACAAACCTGCCTAGATGCAGACTGAGGTCTAACATCCATCTGAATCCACAGCAGCGGAACATATTCAGGGTTTGTATCTAGTTATTGAAATTAAAAAGTGTGTGTGCGTGCATGCGTGCGTGTGATAGAGAGAGAGAGAGAGAATGAGAGAGAGATAGAGCCAGGGGATATATATATATATATATATATATATATATATATATATATATATATATATATATATATATATATATATATATATATATATATATATATATATATCTGGTAATCTGGTAATTTTAATTTCAGCTTCATAGCAAACGGGTCACCCCATCCTGCACAACCACCATCATCCACTTAACACATACAAGCACACTCACACAGACCCATACATAAACACAGATGTATATTACAAATGCCACAAGTGCATACATACCCTCATATCTTGCACAGATATGGATGAGTATCCATCCCGATCCAGGTTCAGGAAAATAGAATAAAGAATATTCCATCTTTTGATAACCTGAGTTTAAGAAAAGGAAGACCATTTCAAATTACTTAAATTTAAAAAAACTCTTTCATGGTAGAAAATTCATTTTTTCACATACCATAAGTAGAAACATCAGCATACTGCCAATACTGAATTACATACAAAGACAGAAAATAAAATGGTTTGCCCACTTAGAATGTCTTGCTACACCATACTATACAAGGCATTTACCAAAATAAGTAAGAGATGCAGAGCATGAGGTAGACTAATAAAAAGTTGGAACATTAACATCAGAGAAAATCTACAGTAGTCAGTTGTGTCTGTAGTCAAGAAGAGCAAGATGCAGAACCTTATTATCTCCTCTTCTCTCTTCTCTCTTTTAAAGAGGATCGATTTCATTGCACCAGGTTTTATCCCATTTGGCTTAGTTTTTCTCCACAGACTGGCTAGCCGCCTGCTGAGGGCTTCGCACAGAGCATGACATCCGTTGCTCCGGCAACGATTCTCCAGGGATCTCCGTAAAAATGGCACTTATGAACTGAACAGCGGTGGGATGAAGAAGAAGAAAAAGAAGAAACACCATAAATAAAACAATGGTATGAAGTATTGGATTAAACACATGTTGAGAAAACCTAAGAAGAATATAATTAAAATGTCTTTGCCATGGAACTCAAAGACATAGAAATAAAGGAAGATCGAAAAACACATGGAGATTAGAGCTAGAGAGAAAAGTTAAAAAGATGGGGTGGACATGGGGAAAGCTGCATGCCGTAGTGAAGGACAGAATGACTTGTTGACCTACTGACTGACTCTCTACCCCACCAGGACATCACACAAGCGATAAACACCCGATGACACAAAGTGCCACCATGTGGATGAGGATCGCCGTGGAGAGGTCCAGAAACCGCGTTCAGACAATTGGCCACATTTATGGCCTGCCTATATTGCGGCCCCTGGCAAAAGCCAGAGCGGGGCTTCAAATTAAAAAAAATTACGTCCAAAAAAGGACGTAAAAATGTATATAGACATGTTATTATAAAGTTGGCTGAGGGCGTATGCTCTATTTGAAGATAGAAAGAAGAGAAAAAAATGAGGTATTGGATTGTTCACCACAACCACTAAAAAAAAGGGGGGTTACAGAGGTGTTGAACAACATGTGTAGGCACAATAAGACTACGGTTCATACTGGTCAAGACCTCGAGGCATGGTGTCTGCGCCGAGTGCTGGAGATCCAGGGTTCAGGCTCCGGTGAAGGCTGAAATTTTGTCATGTGGACTTTAGTAATTTCCCCTGGTCTCTGGGTAGTAAGATCGGACACAAGTGTGTACTGTTGCGCACATAAAAACTCCCTTGGCAGTTAGAAATTGAGTAGCCTAACAGCGCTGCCCGGGCAAAATTTTGAGTTAGAAATTTATTTAAAGTATTTCAGGATCTTCACCAGTGCTACGAAGTTCGTGCATTGTGCTGAGATTTTTCTATCTCAGGCTTGAGTTAGAAGTAGAACGGAGTACTTATGGGCTGCTACCCTTGTGCCATGATGTTGATCCATTGTTTAAACCTAAACCTATATTAGGGTTGTTTAATTCTTTGAGTCCCAAGGAACACATCATACATTCATAGGTTCCTACCTAGAAGCCCAATGAACGCATAATGCGCTGATTTTATTACTTTCTTTACCCCTGGGCCTGTGATGCTTAACCCCCTGGGACTCAAAGAGTTAAGTGATCAAGACACCTCTTGGCAATCATCCTAGAAATAGGCTCGCTGCTGGGGACCTTGCCAGCTTACCGAGTTGATATTTCCTTTAAAGTCAGAGTGCATCTGTCTGACAAGAAGTGACCAGTAGTCTGCACACAAATAAGCCAGATCTTTAAAATGGTTGCAAAATGCAACACTCAAGTCCTGGAACAAGGTCAAGGTAGCCAGATCTGTAAAATGGTTGCACAATTCAACGCTCAAGTCCTGGAACAAGGTCAAAGTCCAAAAGTGGATGAGCCAACAGAATTTTCCCACAAATTTCAAACATTAGGTGCTAAGAAGAAGAAGTAGAAATGAAATATTTTCATCACATTTAATGACACCAAACATCACTGCAGTTAATACTTTGGTGTAGAATGCTTGGCAACAATTACAAATTTTAGCTTTTGATCTTCAGAAAAGATTATAATTAGACAATTTAAAAGCAAAAACTGCATTTTAATAAGAATCCTTTTCATGCCTTTGCCGTATAGCACTAGACCTATTACTTTCATTTACATTAATCTATTACTACGGCAGAAATAGCTGTGTGCAAATATGTTTGCTCTTTATAACATATTTTACATTATAACTGTCTATTCCCTGAGGTTTTATACCTAATCACATTGTATATTTTCTTTAAAATTTTTCTCTTTCTTTCTGTTAGTCTGTCTCTATCTGTCTATTTTTCTCTCCTTCTGTTTATTTTGCTCTCTCTCTCTCCCTCCCTCTCTCTCTCTCTCTCTCTCTCTCTCTCTCTCTCTCTCTCTCTCTCTCTCTCTTAATTACTGCTTATTGTTCAGTTTTTTTAACTTTGAAACAGAGACATCTTTGAAATTCACCACATACATCATGTTCCACTTTCTTCAGCAGAACTTTCAGACGTCCCTCTCCCTCTTTGATACTTCCAGTGACAATATGAGGCTGCCTTATAGTCATTGCTGAGAAAGCTTTCTGTCTCTCCCCACCAGCCAGCATTTGAGGCGTCTTGGCTGAGGATGGTTTTTCTGTGAAAATGATTTGATTTGTAAACATACATATGAATAACTGAGATTTGTATCATCAATGCTTCTTTTTCATTCACCCTTAAAATAATGGCTAACACATTATATTGTGGTTTAGAGCCTGCATTAAATGCATCTTTTATCTGAACACAGCCAATATTAGCAAATCCCAGATTAGTTGCCTTTTATGGGAACAGTGGGTCTATTCTTTATTGTTGCCCAACATAGGGTCACTAGACCCACATGGGGAGATTTAAACATGATGAGATAATGAAAATACATATACATTGAAGTAAACACATAAGTAAAAGATAATAAAACATTTTTTAATGTAATATCCTGTTTTTAACCTTCTGGGTTATACCTGGGATTCATGGAGTCTTTTGTTACTTCAATAGATAAATGATGAGAATATTTTGGACAGATAAACATAGTAATGAAGATGTCTTGAAAGAAACTGACTCATGAAGAGAACTGATTGCCCACATCAGAAAGAGACAATCTATATTCTTTGGTCATGTGATGAGAAGGAGAAAACTGGAGTACATCGTGACAGTAGGGAAGTTGGAGGGGAAGAGACGCAGAGGAAGACCGAGAGAACAGATGCTGGACAGTTTGACATCATGGCATGTAGAATCATCTGTGTCAGAGTTGATTGAAAGTACATGAGACAGAAGGTTGTTGATAGACATGACTACCAATGCCACACGACATGGACTTAAAACTGTTTATCGATGTGTTATTTATTTGTTTATTTTAATTTGCTGTTGTCATATTCTAGTTTACTTCTCCACTTTCTCCACTTTCTTCGTAGTGGTATATCGCTTTACAATTGTAAATATCACCCTCCCCTTACAATGTAAGACATGCATATAAAGTAAAGGACCCTTTTTCACGCCTTTAGGCGCATTGGGCATATAGGGCTAGACCTATATTTTTAT